TGACCTGGCTTCTCCTTAACTTTATGGCCTCATTTCTGACAATTCTCAATCTTATGTTTTATGCTCTGATTGTAATTTCCCTACCCAAACACCACGTCTTTCCTGTTTGCGCCTTTGCTCATGCTGTTCCATCATGCTAGCGCCCCATTCCCACCACTCTTCTCTGTTAACTTCTACTGGTCCCTGAATCCCTATCTTGAGCATTATTTCCTCCTTGAACTCTCCCTGAGTCCTGAGAATACGATAAGTATTTTCCTTCAGTCATCCAATTGTACTAGTAAATACTTCTTTGGGAACATTAGCTGCCTTTTACTGAAATGATGATTCTGTGTCTGCCTCCCCCCATCTGTTAGGCTTTTTGTCTGGTTCATCTTTGATTCATGAGGACATAGTTGACGGCATATTGTAGGTTTTTAGTATATATTTATTGATCTGAACTCCACCAGGTTTCAGAGCCTCATGAGGTCAGCTTATTTATTTATTTATTCCAGATATACTTGTTGAGTGTATTTTTATGCCAGGAACTGTTCTAGGTTCTAGGGCTACACCTGTGAGCAGATAAGGTCTTTGTTCTCATGGAGCCCACATTTTAATAGAGAAAGAAAGATTGACAATCACCAAGTAAACAAATGAACAAAGATGCATGTTCTGAAGGCAAAAATTAAGATAATGGCTGGGGTGGGGGAGGGAGAATGGTGTAGCGTGGGACAGATTATCATGTACTTCAGCAGGTAACTCCCAATCACATCTTCAGTAAAGATGAGAGAAGTATAGAAGTGCTAATGTCAGAATAAAGTTGTTTCTTAGTTCCTGAAAGGGATCTGCTAGTGTGGGATTATAGAGATACTTATGTGCTAATGCACATTTGCCTATGCTTTGTGTTTTTATTCATAAGGTTCATTATGTAAACCTTAATAATGATTACTATAGCAAAACAAGTTTATATAATGTTATATGGTTTTTACTTTTATATGCATTATTTTGAACAGAAGAGGTCTCATTACTTCTACGTTGCAGGTTAGAAAATTGAGACCTAAATAAGGTCAGTGACTTATTCAAGGCTGTGACAATTGGAGCTGTGTGTCAACTTGGTTGGACCACAATTCTGTGTGGTTTAAACAATTGTGATGTGGGTAGTTCCAATGATGAGATCAATGTATATGTTTTGAGCAGCCAATCCATTGAAAGGGAGTTTCCATAAGGGTGTGGCCTGCTTCCAGTATATTTATGGACATCCTGGGAAAAAAGACACTCCTCTTCTGTGGATCAGGATTCTGCCTACAACTGTCTGTGACTGAACAATCCAGCATTCTGCCTGGAGATCTTGGATTCATCATTTGTTGAAGTCAACAGCCAGTATACTGCCTGCCAACCTTGAGCTGCTCAGGCCCTGCCGCTGCATGAGTTGGGAAAAGCCTCCAGCTTGATGTTTGATCCAAGAACTTAGGACTTGTCAGCTTCTATAAGTGTGTGAGCCATTTTCCTAAGATAAATTTCTCTTTCTCTATATATATAAGCTTTACTAGTTTTGTTTCTCTAGATAACTCAGTCTAACACAAAGGCATACAGACAATGATAAAGCTGGTTTTCCCAAACAGGTTCTCTGATTTAAAACCCAGTGTTGTTTTCATTATACCATGCTGCCTTCCTCAAAACCTTTCTAATCCCATTTTTCCTAGAGAAGGTTCCAACCCATTGGAAACCTTGCTTCCTGAGCAAGCAAGGTTTTGTTTTTTGTATAATATTTCTCTTAAATCAAATAGCTGGAAGTTTCTTGAAAGGTTCAACTATTGCCATGTCAAGAAGTACTTCAGGCATCCCAAAAAAGTCATATAGTTAAGGTAGTTAATAGTGACAGTGAACATTTATCTTAAGAAATATATTTCTTAATTTAAAAACATATTATTTCATTCAGCAAATATTTACAGACAGCCTAATAGGTACTAAGAACTATTCTAGGAGCTAGGGATACAACAAAAACAAGACAGACATATTAAAACACAAAAATAAGAAGGGGAACAAGAAATTGACTGTGATATTTAAGTGGACACAAATCTCTTATTGATGACTAAGTACATAGGTAACCACAATAGTTTGATGATGATGTGGATACTCTTTGTTGTAGTTTTTTTATCAAGTTAGGAGGTGCGTACACGGGGAAAATCCATAGCCATTTTGGCTCAATAGTAGAGTCATATATCAGCTTTTATGTGGGCCATAACTGTAACTCCAAATATAAAAGCTATTTGTGCCACACAAAAGCATATCATGGTCTGGAATAGAAACACCACAGCCCCTTCACCATGTTCCAAATTTGAAGAAAACGAGACAAGAAAGCACCCAGTTCTGTTTAGGGCAACAAATGGCAAGAGAAGATAGAAAAAGGAAGACAGAGAGATAGAGAAGGGAAGGAAGAAATTTGAAAAACTGGAAACGGTTCCAAGAGTAAACAGACAAAGTAGGTAAGTAGGATTTGCTAATGAGCTACATCCCAAAGTAGCTAGAAACTTTTGCCTGTTTACTAATTTGTAAAAGACAAATAGTAAGAGCAAGAGAAGAATCTCCCAGACCTGCCCACAAGAAAGTGAATTATAATAATTAAATGGGAAGAAACAATATTTCAGGACTACATTGGTCTCAAAGCTATCTGGTTAAATCATTCAGACAAATGAGAAACCTCCAAAGTCCCTTAGAAAGTCTGTAATACTGTATATACAAAGGAGAGGTGAGGTGCAAGTTAAAAACTTCTAATTCACCTACCATTTTCCCCAGTGTTTTAACTTCCTTTTTTCTAACTTGATCTGGATTTAAACACGGGTTTGTCCTTCTAAGATATGTCTAATTTTTAACACTAATAATTGTTATTTATATTATTGATACTTTCTCAAAACTACATTTCACTTTGAAGTTATTAAGTGAAACTTCTCACAGACTTCTGAAAATTTTGGCTCTCCATCTGGATAGTGCAACAATGTGTGTGTGTGCACACACATATGCATATTTTATTCACTTTAGGCTCTGCATGAAATCTGTGTTTTATGAGGACTCTTTCAAAGTATACCAGAACATCCTTGATTAATAAATAGAATACTTGTGGATGGGAAATTGTTTCTTTGTCTCAAAATACACAATTAAGAAATGGTTCAATATAATTGTGTGTAGGTGAAAATTAGTCCTAGAGGCCACCCCTACATCTTGTCTAGGGGAAACTCCATACCCAGGGCTCTTGTACTATAAAAATGGACAATCACTCCATGGCAATCAATGTCTCACTCATTCATGGACGCTGCACCTAGTAATGGGAATGTTCCTTTCTATTTTTGATGAGAGAACAATTCCAATGTAGTGTGATACAACAGTGTTTAAAAGTCTCTCAGCATTCTTCACAGTGAGCAGTTGGTGCCTTTGCTCTAGCTAAATGAGAATAAATCCCAGGGAAGAGGTGTTCCATGCCTACTACAATTCTGTCCAGAAAAATAGTGGAGTTCCTAAAGCCAGCAGGCCTAGATATTGTCCACCAGTGAGGGAATCATTCTTTGAGTTCTCTTCTATAATTTACCCTTCACACAGAGGAAAGACAATACAAAGGTGTAATTAGATTTTTCCCTGCTTTGCCTTGTCTCTTCTTTCTACTCCTTTGTCTAAATACACAAGTGAGTTATTGCAACAGACCCAGATCAACTGTCCTTACTTTTCCAAAACAAACTTTCACCAGAAATTTATCCATTTCCTCTATTCAATTAAAACACTTGGTCTGTAGCACTGAAAACATGATGTTCAAAACTGTGATTATTCACTTACCGATCTTACCTTCCTTCCTAGATAAAAAGTTCTTGAGCAAGCAGACCATGGTCTGACAAGAGCCACCAAGTTTAGTTAGAGCACAAAATGGGTATCCAATAATCATTTGATAAACAGACTGACTCATTAAATACTTATTATGCACCTATTATGTGCCAGGTATAACACACAATCCCTGTCTTGACAAGGCTCACAGCCAAGTGGTATGAATGAATGTACATGCATTGCCATCTTATGTATAACTAATGCTCAGCAAATTACAAATAACTATAATAAGAATAAAATGTGCCCTGAGAGAAAGTTCATGAGATATCACAAGGGATTTTCATCTACAAGAAGGAACACTGTTGGCATCTCAAGGAATTTCCCCAGGGAAATGGTATAGATATGTTAGGCAATCAAGCTTAGCTTAGATTAAACAAAATGTGCAGAGCACTGCTCTGATGACAGAGTGCTCAGAAAGAATTCTACCAAATCAAATCTGATTCTTTTGCCTCAACAATTGACCTTAGAGATTGAACTTACACTTGACTGAAGCTCCCTTGCTCTCAGACGGAGGTCTGAGCATATCAGCTACAATGATAATAAATGAGGAATGGCAAAGCCCAGTGCTTTCTCGCAGCCACTAGTTTTCAGGGGAAAAAGGAAAAATCAGTCTTCCAGGCTTCAAGATTACATTCCAAGAATTTTCCTTCACCTCAGATAATGAGGCTCTTGGGAACAACAGACTTGACAAAGGTAAATTAATACATGTTATATATTAGGACACACAACCACAAATTATGCCACTTTAGTTAAACTTCCCTACTTGTCAAGTAAAGGCACAAAATTAAACTTTACATGTGTCTAGTTCCTCGTGATTTCAAAAGACTTTCATCTGACTCATTTCAATTTCATTTTTTGTAGAATGCACATCAACCTGTGGAGTAAGGTTCCCCATTAGTTAGAGAGGGTATATTTTCTCTACACAAGTACCTGTGACTGAGTCACAGGGTACTTATGTAGAGAACCCAATTTCATACATAAATGTAAACTGGGACCAAAACCTAAGACAGCTTCTTCCAAGACCAACGTCTTTTTCTGCTACAACATATGACCTCAAAGAAGAGATTAGAGGACAGATTTTGTCATCAACCTGGAAATCTCGTTTGTCCTGAAACAGTCACACAGCACATTAAATGGCATTCGGTGAACTTTACCTCTTTAAGACAGCCCATGAAGTTGTTGCTGACGGGTGAGCCTGGCAGGTCAGCGGTGCTTGGGCTTCCTCCCACGTAGAAGAAGTCATCTGAGCCTAACATGGTGTAGTCCTCCTGCGTGTAGCCCGTCGTGGTAAGAATGCCATCCACAGAGATTGTTACCTGGTAGAAGGACATATGGACAAAAAAAAAAAAAAAAAA